CCGGCCCTTGCGAGCGCTGCCTCCACGCGGTCACGCAGCTGGCGGCGACGCTGGCGGACGTGGATGACCTGACCCAGACCGTACTCTGCATTGTCTTCGAACAGCGAATTGCCCCAAGCGGTGCCCTTGCCCGACTCCTTGTCTGTGGCATAGGGAACCCAGCCGGCAGTTCCTCCCCAAATGCTGCTGCAGCCTGTGGCATTGGCGACAATCAAGCGCTTGCCGAACATCTGCGTCACAAGCTTGGCATAAGGAGTCTCGCCGCATCCTTCGCATGCACCGGAGAACTCCAGCAAAGGCTCCTGGTGAGCACTTTGTTGTGACAGCACTGCTATTGGTACGCGCTGGGGTGCTGTCTTTGTGGGTTGTCTACACTGTGTCCGTGCTAATGATGTCGGTACTATTGCAAACACTGGCATACACGCTCTATTTGGCGTTGAGCGCCACGACAAAGTGCCGAATGGCATCAGCTCCACGATTAGACATGACACTCTCCACAACTGCTAGGATATGCCACGATGCTTTGCTAGTGACCAATAAAGCTTACCGCCCATATTCTGTGCACTCCGTTTCAGACTGCACGATAACACTCTTACAAGTGCAAGGCTCCTGGAACTGAGAGCCTTTGAGCGTATTGGCATCGAAGCGCTTGCCGCGGTTCGGGATGGTCATGGCATAGTCCCAGTTGTCACCGTGGCCCTTGTCGAGTGACTCCACGCGGGGTAGCATGGACAAAGCTCCAACTGGACAGGCGTTGGTGCAGACCTCGCAGCCAGTGCAGTCGTTCGGAGAGGCTTGGATGCGGAAGTGCAGTCCAGCGTACGTGTTCCCACCCGTTGCCTTGCGTGCATCAAACGCTTCCGGGGCCTTCTTGAGCTCGGCATGTGAGAGCAGGAAGGGACGGATCACAGCGTGTGGGCAAATGGCACTGCAAACGTTGCACTGAATGCACTTGTCCATGTCCACCACCGGCACGGACTCGGCGACACCACGCTTGGCGTAGCGCGTCTGCGAGAGCGGCACGCAACCATCGGCTTCGACCTCGCTGACCTTCAGCTCGTGGCCTCTCATGGTTTGGACCTTGTCCAAGACCTCTGTGACGTAGGTCGGAGGGGTCTCCACGCGGGTCTTGGCATAGACCACGTTCGGATCCGACTCCAG